TGGCCTCCAAGGAGCACTCTGGCTGCACTTTTTCCAACACAGATCTGTTGGTAATTTTGGCAGCCCATGGCACTTTCAATATTCTCATCCAACACCATAATTCAAAAGTATCCATTCTTCTATGGTCTTCCTTATTCACTGTCTAGCTTTCACATGCATATGAGGTTACTGAAAACACCGTGGCTTAGGTCAGGTGTACCTTAGCCCTCAAGCTGACATCTTTGCTCTTCAACACTTTAAAAACGTCTTGTGCAGCAGATTTGCCTAATGCAATACATCGTTTTATTTCCTGACTGCTGCTTCTGTGAGTGTTGACAGTTGATCCAAGAAGAATGAAGTCTTTGACAACTTCAGTCTTTTCTCCGTTCATAAGAATGTTGTTTATTGGTCCAGTGGTGAGGATTCTTATTTTCTTTACATTGAGATGCAATCCATACTGAAGGCTGTGCTCTTTGATCTTCATCAGTTTTAAATCCTCTTCACTTTCAGCAAGCAAGGTTGTATCATCTGCAAATCGCAGGATGTTAATGAGTCTTCCTCCAATCCTGATGCCACGTTTTTCTTCATATAAACCAGCTTCTCAGATTATTTGCTCAGCATACAGGTTGAATAAGCATGGTGAAAGAATACAACCTTGTCGTACACCTTTCTTAATTTGAAACCATTCGGTGTTACCATGTTCTGTTTGAACAATTGCCTCTTGGTCCATGTACAGATTCCTCATAAGCACAATTAAGTGTTCTGGAATATTCATATCTTTGATATCCCATGTGAGTAAAGTTTTACTAAAGGTAATACAGAAATGGCTACAAGCATTGACAGAGAACTTTCAGAGGTTCAAGCCGGATTCCGAAAAGGCCGTGGAATGAGGGATATCATTGCTAATGTCCAATGGATCTTGGCTAAAAGAAGAGACTATCAGAAAAATGTTTACCTGTGCTTTACTGACTATGCAAAGGCTTTCAATTGTATGGATCTTGACCTGCATATGAGGTGAATGATAATACTACGGCTTGGTTCAGGCATATCTTAGCCCTCAAAGTGACATCTTTACTCTGTAACAGTTTACAGAAAGTCTTTCATAACAGATTTGTCCAATGTAATACCTGGTTTCACTTTTTTTCACTGCTGTTTCCATGAGTATAGACTGTGGATCCAAGTAAAATGAAATTCTTGACAATCTTTTCTCTATTTATCATGATAATGTTTATTGATGCAGTTTTGAGGATTTTGGTTTTCTTTACATTGAATTGTAATCCACACTGTAAGTGCTTCAAATCCTCGTCATTTTTAGCAAGGAAGGTTGCATCATCTGAATACTGCAGGTTGTTCATGAGTCTTCCTCTAGTCCTGATGCTGCATTCTTCTTTACATAGTACATCTTCTCAGATATTTGCTCAGCATACAGACTGAATAAGCACAATGAAATGATACATATCTGATGCACACCTTTCCCGATTTTGAACCAGTCAGTACCCCTTTGTTCTGTTCGAACAACTGCCTCTTTGCCTATGTACAAATTCTGAGCACAATTAAGAATTAAGTGTTCTGGAATTCCCATTCTTCAAAATGTCATCCATAATTTATTATGATACACATAATTGAAGACCTTTATATGGTCAATAAAATACAAGTAAACATCTTTCTGATATGCTCCTCTTTCAGCCAAGATCAATCTAACATCCGCAATGATATTTCTTGTTCCACGTTCTCTTCTGAGTCTGGCTTGAATTTCTGGCAGTTCCCTGTCAACATAATGTGCAACTATTTTTTAATGATCTTAAGCAAAATTTTACTTGCATATGATATTTGCTGGCGACTGCAGCATACATAATAAGCACTGAGAAGCTGAAGCCCAGGGACAACGTAGACG